CCCCCCTGCTGTCTGGCGAGCACACGTGCCCTATAGCAAAAAAAAAAAAAAAAACCTGTCAAAAAAAAAAAGAAGAAGAAGAAGAAGAAGACCTTCCTCACAGAGACTCAATACAGGTGAGACTGCAAACTAGGTAGACACCATAGTAGAAAGTCAAAGCAAATGAAACTAGAGAAGGTGTACCAAGGTCACCTGAATGCTGGCCCAACCTATCCAGGGAAGAGGTCCTTTGCTTTCCTGGTTATGTATTTATTCATGATAGGAAAAGGAAAAGGGAACATTGATTCCAGTGAGGCAGGACTGACAATGAAGTGATGGTAATAGAAAACCAAATAGTAGAGAGAACAGGAGGCATATTGAGCTTCCTGCAAAAGAAGAGCATATTTCCAAGGATCTTTGCCATTAAGAGGAGTGCAAAAATAGGGAATTAGCTGTGGATGCAAATGCAGTGACCTGAGACATTCAGATTATTTTTTAAACTTGAGACATATTTGAATATGAGTCTGTATTAATGAGAAATATTCAAAGTAATGATTTCATTGTTCATATTACCTTGGAATAGTAATTTATGACAAGCACATTGCAAAGCATGTTCTTTCACTCTGGGTATTCCCGTGAAAAAAATTAGCATTTAATAGGTGAAAAAGGGTAGGTTTATGAGTCTCAGTTTGAATTATTTCCTTACCTGGGAGGCTATTTGTGGGTTAATTTGCCATTTACTTACTTTATTGCAAATTGGTCAGATCCTTGCTTTGTCTACTGGGGTCAGAATGGTTCTTTTAAATAATTATTGACACATGGTAATCGTCCATATGTATGGGGTATAGTATGATTTTTCAGAACAGGACTACAATATATTGTAATCAAATCAGGGTGTTTACCATACCCATCATGTCACACACTGTGTTGGAAAAATTCTCTGTGTTGGAAAAATTCAAAATTCCTCTGTTTTAGCTAATCTGAGATTTACAGTAAAGTATTGTTAACATTATGTTACTGGACTACAGAACACTAGCACTTGTTCCTCTTTTCTCTCTGCAATTTTTGCATCCATTAATCAACACCTCTCTATCCTCCCCCCTTCTGCATGATATCAGAGTATTTTTATTCCTGCTTTTGAGTGCATTCTTTCAAACATGATATTGGGTTTTTATTTTTCATAGTCTGGGTATTGGCCATTTAGGTTTTTTATATATGTAGACATTAATAAAATGTGAGAGGTATATAGTATACATGTGTCTTGCACTTTCAGCCATAACAAGGAGGCCACCTTGTTTTCCAATACCCTCTGATACCATCACCATCTCTCACTGTCCCCCTTGCCCATTGACTTCACACTGGCCCCTTGATGGTCTTGAGCTTCAAAACCAGCACCTCCCTTTGCCCCAGCTATTCTCTCTGCCAGCAACTCCTGGCCTCCACTCTCTCTCCCATTGAAGTCATTGTTCAAATGTCAACATCTATTCCTGTCTTACCTGGTCCCCTGTACAAAATAGGGACTGGATTCACTCAACCTTGTACTTGCTTTTGTTTTCTTCGTAATATCTTTCACCACCTGCATGTTTTAGTCTATCTTTATTGAGAGCTTTACTGAGGTAAAATTGGTACATGTAGGACTGCACGTCAATGTGTATGTCTGATGAGTTTGTGCATAAGTAAATATACATAACATCCTCAACACAGTTAAGGTGATAGACATGTATTTCCTTATTTAGCAGTATTCTTTCTCTATCATTGGGATGTGCAGATTTTGTTTTTCAGCATCCTAAAGTCATTGCCTGGATAATGTCTAGAACACAATCAGCACTCTCTATATATTCCCTAAATGTAAGAAATGGTTTATGTTGGGAACCAGCAGTTAGCGTAATGGCTATGTCGCTGGACTCCCACGTAGTCGACCGCGGTTCGTGTCCCGGACCCGGTGGCTTAAAACTCATGCCGGGCGCGTGTGCGTGCGTGCCCAAGATCCTGAGAGGAGAATGGAGGAGAAGGGATTGCGGCGTGACCATCCCCCCTGGGGGGTGATTTCTCACTTTCTGTCTCTATGTCTCTGTCTGACTGGTGAGTGCACGCGCCCTACAGTGAAAATCTCTCAAAA